GCACGYAGTTTCAATTCAGGATAAGCTGCTGGTGACCTTCTATCGCTTCACCTTTATAGAGAGTTGAGAAAATAACTGGTTGTCCTCTCCCATCCCTTAACAATATTTCCTGCACCTGCTGTCTCTCCAGGGTAAAGAGGATCCTCAAAGACCACCTCCGTCCTGGTCTCCACCTGCTCAGCCTGCCGTCCTCTGGTGGAAGGTACATGAGCATTAAGAACCGCACCCACAAACTCAAAACAGTTTGTTCTCCTGGGCTATTTGAACACCAGCTGTGTGTGTGTGTGTGTGTGTGTGTGTGTGTGTGTGTGTGTGTGTGTGTGTGTGTGTGTGTTGCTGCTTATCCTAAATGTTCTTTTCATAAGACACTGTTAGCTGAGGCACATCTGATTTCATTGTACCTGTGCAATGACAATGGAGACTATTCTATTCTATTCTATTCTATTCTATTCTATTCTATTCTATTCTATTCTATTCTATCCTATTCTATTCTATGTACCACAAAAGAAAAGGATTGGAGAAAGACACTGTCTAAAGCAAAGCAAGACAGCTCCTTCAAAGTCCCACACTTTAAAATGTCCTTTGGGGTGTTTACATATGTGTGTATGTGTATTTGTCTGTCTGTTAGCAAAATATCTCACAAATCACTGGATAGGTTTAATAAAAAGTACATCTGAATAACTTACAGAGTCAGCCTGATCCACGTTAGTCATCATGGTAAATCCACATTAGCAAACACAAAAATGGCTGCAACGCAATCGGTTTTACAAAAACTGTTCTAAAATTTGGTGTGGTGCAGCTRGGTGACATTGCAAAGTCAGCTGAAGAGAATAATTAGGCATTAAACACAGAAAACCCCAAATCCAGAAAAGGAGAGGTGACCAAAATTGCTTATAATTTCATCATTTCCCAATGTAAGATCATTTTAGGTTAAAGCTCTGGCATGTTGCAGGTAATATGCATTTGTTTAATCTTCATATCTTTAGGACACTAGTTCTAGTTTGATAAACATTACTGTTTAATGGAAGTTACCAGTTGAAAAATCCCACCGTGCTGTTCAAGGCTTAAATTCTCTTAAAGCTGTTTTTTTTTCTGTTTTTGAGACTGTTGTCTATTAAAAATAAGTCAAAAGAAACTCTTATATTTGTTTTTTCCTATTTTACAAAACCTGTATGACCCCAAACACAAGGTAACGAGGATTTATGTGTCTCATTACACCCCTACTATTCTGTGACTTGAAATAATTTTATTTTTCAGATTTTGCCTCTCAGCCCATCAGCCATCTTTGTTTTTCAGCCAACAGGCTTTGCACCTGGAGAATCTCGAGAATCTAGTCTGTTCACTGAAGACATATTTCATTTAAAAAACCCAGTGACCTTCTTTTAATTACAGACGATGCACTGAGGACACTTAAAAGCCAGACGAGGGGGGGGGGGGGTATAAGCGGATTAGCTGATCTGTGGCTCATACAGTAACATACTGTGAAGTCACAGTGGTGTGCGTTCGTATGAGTGTTTGTGTGCCTTCTTAAGTGTGCATGTGTGCGAATCCTTGACATAACTCCTGATGCACTTTGCCAAAGATTTCACGCAAATTAATGCTGAGCGGGTTGGACGGGGTACAAACAGCTCGCGAACATAAGCCAGGGGTTTTTACGAAGTGATAAAAACAACAAAATAAAAAAATACAACAAAGTGTAGCACTTTTTTCTYTCTAAATCTCTTACCTGTCTGGATTTCTTTCTGACCTACATCTCTGTTTCATTCCCTTCTACTATCCCTCAAGCAATTCCTATTCCCATAGCTATCCCCACTTTTCTTAATCCTCCTCCCTTTCCTGCGATAATTCCACATCTTTTTCTCCCCTCCCCTGCTCATTTTTTTCTGTCAAGTCCCCATTTCTCTTTGGCAGAYGCTACTGTCTTCYTTTCTCCTCCTCCTTCTCCYTCACTTCCTGCCTTCCCTCCCTTCCTCACCTCTCTTGTTTATCTCACTTCTGTGCTACTTGCTCTTCCTCCCTTCATCCATCTCTCCCCGCCTGTTCCCTAAATCAGCCCCTAATAGACTGCGGTAGCACATGTTTCAGTCATGCTCGCACTGAAGCTGGGACATGCGTAGGTACTGGCACGGTGAGGCACAAATGCGAGCGACGGCAACAGCAACAAAAAGAATTGATCGTTAAAAACCTGCTGCTCAGTCAGCATCAATGTTCTTATTTGTCAGAGCGAGCAGAGCTTTGGGAGGGACAAAAGAGATGAAAGTATGGGAGAAAGAGGAGAAAACTAACACAGGAGGCAGCAACAGTTAGCCAAATAAATAAACACAAAGTAATTTTAGATTAAAGGAAGTTAGCGTTTCTTGAAATAATTCATATCAACCACAGCCTTGCTGGTCAGTGGCTCTAACCAGTAGTTCCCAAACTTGGGGTCGGGACCCACAATGGGGTCCCAAAACATCAACGAAGTGTCCTGAAAGTATTTTCTGAATGAAATATATTAGAAAATGAACAAATAACATTTCTTTTTGCTTTTGTTGTTACAAAAAAGTAAAGTTAGTGTACTTTAAATGGATAAAAATAACATAATGAATGTTGTTAATATGCTCCTATTTTTTGACGTGAAAACAATGTTTATGATCCAAAAACAGTTGCAGGCTCAAGTCTCTGCTGCTGGTAGTTTGAGGGTCAAAGGCTGAAATGTTTGGGAACCACTGCTGTAAGCCACAAACATACACACAAATTTAGCTCATTGGGCCTCATGCAAGAATCGTTTGTACGCACAGATTTGTTCTTAAGTTGTGCGTACGAGTGATTTAGGAGAATTTGTGGCATTCACCAATGTTTTCGTATTCTA